GAGCAGGGAGCCCGACGTGGGGCTCGATCCCAGGACCCTGGGATCATGACCCGAGCCGAAGGCAGACGCTTAATGACTGAGCCACCCAGGCGCCCCTAAAAAAATAATATTTATGTGCCAAACATTGGAGCTCCTAAATATATAAAGCAAAAACAGATATAAAAGGAGAAATAACAGTAATACAATAATAGTTGGTTACTTTAATGCCCTACTCTCAACAATGGATAAATCATCCAGACAGACAATCCATAAGGAAACAGATTTGAACATTAGACACCAATAGAGCTAACAGACATACACAGAGCATTTTATCCGACAACAGCAGAATTTACATTCTTCTTGAATGCATACTGACCACATTCTAAGATAGATCATGCATTAGGCCACAAAATAAGTCTTAGCAAATTTTAAAAGACTGAAACAATATCAAGTATCTTCTCTGATCACAATGGCATGAAACTAAAAATCACTAACAATAGAAAAACTGGAAAATTCACAAATACATGGAAATTAAACACTCTCCTGAACAACCAGTGGGTCAAAGAAAAATTACAGGTGAAATTTAAAACAAAGTTTGAGACAAATGGAACTAGAAACATATCAGAATTTATGGGATGTAGCAAAAGTAGTTCTAAGAGGGAAGTTCACAGTAATAATACTTACATTAAGAAGCTAGAAAGACCCCAAAGAAACAACCTAAATCTACACCTTAAGGAGCCAGAAAAAGACAAACCAACTAATAATGTAATGGCATTGTATGGTGACATATAGTAGCTACACTTGTGATGAGCACAGCATAATGTATAGACTTGTCGAATCACTATGTTGTACACCAGAAACTCAACTATACTTCAATTAGGAAAAAAAAAAAACAAAACTGAGCCCAAAGAAAATAAGAAAGATTAGAGCATAAATAAATGAAATAGAAAACAGAAAAACAGTAGCAAAGATTAACCAAACTAAGAGTTGGTTCTTTTGAAAAGATAAACAAAATTGACAAACCCTTAGTTAGATTAACCAAAAGAGAGAGAGGGAGGGAGGAAGGGAGAGAGAGAAAGAGAGAAAAAGGACTTGAATCAACAAAATTATAAATGAAAAAGGAGACATTACAATGGATACCACAGAAATTCAAAGGATCATTAAGAGGTTACTATGAACCAACAATACATCAACGAACTAGACAACTTACAAGAAATGGAAAAATTCTTAGAAATGTACAATTTACCAATACTGAATCAGGAAAAAATAGAAAATCTGAATGAGGAAAAAATAGAAAATCAGGAAAAAACAGACTGATTACTAATAAGGATAATGAATCAGTAAGCAAAAACCTCCCAATGAAGTAAAGTCCAGGACCAGATGGCTTCATTGGTGAATTTTACCAAACATTTAAAGAAGAGTATCAATTCTTCTCAAACTCTTCCAAAAAATCAAAAGAGCAGGGGACATTCCTGAACTCATTTTACAAAGCCAGCATTTATCCTGTTACCAAAACCACAAAAGGACACTACTAAGAAAGAAAACTAAAGGCCAATATCCCTGATGAATACAGATGCAAAAATTATCAACAAAACACTAACAAACCAAAGTCAGCAGCACATTAAAAAGGATCATTCACCATGATCAAGTGGGATTCAAGGATGGTTCAACATATGCAAAATCAATGTGATACATCACATTAATAGAATGAAAAGAATCATATGATCATCTTAATAGACAAAGAAAAAGCAGTTAACAAAATTCAACATCCATTCATGATAAAATCTAACAAATTAGCCATCAAAAGAACATATCAACATAATAAAGGTCATATATGACAATCCTGCAGTTTAACATCATGCTCAATTGTGAAAAGTTGAAAGCTTTTCCTCTAAGATCAGGAAAAGGCAAGGGTGCACATTCTCACCATTCCTCTTCAACACAGTACTAGAAGTCCTTGCAAGAACAATCAGGGAAGAAAAAGAAATAAAAGTCACTACAAAGACATGTAAAAGGAACTGCAAACAAAGAAGTAAACTGTCTCTATTTGTAGATGACATTACTTTATATAAAGAAACTCTAAAGACTCAACCAAAAAACTGTTAGATGTAATCAGTAAATTCAGTAAAGTTGCAGGATACAAAATTAACAAAAAAATCAGTAGCATTTCTAAATGATACCAATGAATTTTATGAAAAAGAAATCAATCCGAATTTCAATAGCATCAAAAGCAACAAAATGCTGAGGATAAATTTAAGTAAAGAAGTGAAAGATCTCTACTCTGAAAAATACAAGATGTTAATGAAAGAAATTGAAGAAGAAAGGAAGAAATGGAAAGGTATCCTGTCTTCATGGATTGGAAGAATTAATAGCATTAAAATGGCAAAAATACAAAAAGCCATCTATATATTCAATACAATCCCTATGAAGTTGCCAATGACATTTTTACAGAAGTAGAAAAAAAACTCCTAAAAAGCTTCTGTACAGCAAAAGAAACCATCATGCAAGTGAAAAGACAACCTATGAAATGAAAAAAAATATTTGCAAACCACATATCTGATAAGGCAGTAATATCCAAAATACATAAAGAAACATTACAACTCAATAGCAAAAAAAAAGTAACCCAATTAAAAAATGGGTAAAGGACCTGAATACACACTTCTCCAAAGAAGATACACAAAAGGCCAACAGGTAAGTGAAAAGATGATCAACATTACTGGTCATTAGAAAAATGCAAATTAAAACCACAATGAAATACCATCTTAGGCCTGTTAGAACAGCCACCATCAAAAAGATAAGGGCTAACAAGGGCATAGATGAGAAAAGGAAACCTGGTTCACTGTTGGTGAGAAAGTAAATTGGTGCAGCCACTATGGAAAACAAGATGGAGGATCCTTAAAAAAAAAAAAAATAGAGCTATCATGTGATCCAGCAATTCTACTTCTGGGAATATAGCCATAGGACAAAAACACTAACTCAAAAAATATCTGCACCTGCATGTTCATAGCAGTATCTTTTGACCAATAAATGGATAAAGAAGTTATGGTATGTGTATGTATGTGTATGCATGTATGTGGTTACTACAGATGGACGGTGCAGAGAGGAGGAATAGGAAAAAGGTGGTCAAAAGGTACAAGCCCCCAGCTGTAAGAACAAACAAGTACTAGGGATGTAATATGCAACATGATGACTATAGCTGACACTGCTATACAATATATAGGAAAATTGTTAAGAGTAAATGCTAAGAGTTCTCATTATAAGGAAAAAAAATGCCCATTTTTTTCATTTCTTTTTATTGTCTCTATAGGAGAAGATGAATATTAGCTGAACTTATTGTGGTAATTTCACAATATATATGCAAATCAAACCAGCATGCCGTATGCCTTAAATTTATACAGTGATGTTTATTTCTCAATAAAACTAGAAAAAAATTTATAAGAACCTAACAAAGATTTTGCTAGACTTATATTGTAAGAAACACCACCAATTCGGACTAAAAAGAATAGGGATAATTTCTTTTAGAATGAAAAGAAGTTATAGGGCCCCAAATGTCTATAGATAGGAATCAGGCTTAGAATCCCACTCAGCTACAACGATGGGCCATCTTTATGGAAAAAGAACAATGAACCAGAAGTTAGAGGCAAGAGCCATAGAGAAGCATTCGCAGGGAGTACTCTCAAAGTGGGATATTTTTCCCCCCTGTGGAACAAAGGGAAATCAGAAAATGTGTTTGCCAAGATTTCAACATTGTCATGCATCAGTGACTGCTATGTCCTTTTAGTTTTTCCTTTTAAATAAGAGTTTCTATGAGGGTTCTTCTTTCTGTGTCTCCTCATTGAGTCTAAAAATGTGGCAGAGCAGATAACTTGTGTCCTTAGTTCACAGGTCTTCAAGTTTGAGAGGACCAAAATTCAAGGAGCTGACAAAAATGTACCCAAGGGGTCTCATGTATCTCTAGACTTAATTTAGATGACAACATCCTTGTTATGAAGCCTAGAAGAAACCAAGATACCCTTTAGCTGGGGAATGGATTTAAAAAAAAAAACAAAACACAACTGTGGTATATCCAGACAAATGGAGTATTATTCAGTGTTGAAAAGAAATGAGTTAACAAGTCATGAAAAGACATGGAGGAACCGGGGCGGGGGGGGGAGGGGCGGGCGCACCTGTGTGGCTCAGTCGGTTAAGCACCTGCTTTCACCTCAGGTCATGATCCCAGAGTCCTGGGATCGAGCCCCACATGGGGCTCCCTGCTCAGCGTGGAGCCTGTTTCTCCCTCTCCCTGTCTCCCCTTGCTTGTGCTTGCGCTCTCTCTATCTCTATCTCTCTCTGTGTCAAATAAATAAATAAATATTTTTTTTAAAAAAAAAAAGACATGGAGGAACTGGAAATGCATATCACTAGGTGAAAACCACTAATCCTAAAAAGCTATATACTGTAGGACTCCAACTATGACATTCTGGAAAAGACAAAACTATAGAGACAATAAAAAGACAATTAAAAGGGGAGGATATAAATGGGGGCAGGGGTTATATGGGAAATCTCTGTACCTCCCTCTCAATGTGGTTTTAAACCTAAAACTGGTCTAAAAAATAAAGTCTTTAAAAACGTTTTTAATCTTAATGTTATAGGTATGCATAAGATGTAACATAAAGCCACCCTCAACTCATCCGATCTCATTTTCCAAGATGCTTTGGACTAAATATGTTTTTATTCTGATTGACAGCAATAAGTCTAACTACCATGCTTACACTTGTACTTCTTGGTTTATTATCTGTAACAGTATCTATAGGAGGAAGGAAACTTTGAGCCCTAAAGGAAAATAAATGAACTTAGAGAAACTACCACAATCTAACCACATTTCCTATTTTTGCTGATAACATTATTATTTATAGATTCTTAAATGTCTATTTTGATTCATCAACTTTGAATAGCACTTCTTGACTCCCCACTACATGTGATGAGGAAAATAACAAATAGGCAGAAATCAAGACTCAAAATGAATTCTAAGAAGCATTTACCTTGTTCATAAAGTAGCTTCATATTTGAATCTTTGCAGGCAACCAGATTGTTGAGCAATGCAATCACACTTTGCATGGTGTTACCCAGAATGTTCTCCTGATGTTCCTGCAATAGATCACAATTTCCATCATAACTATACAGAATTGTAATTACACCATGATAGAGACAAATGATCAAATGACCTCCATCCCTTCATTCTTTGCACAAGGTCAAATAATTATCTTTCTCCGCTTTAATGAAACAGATCCTTCTGCGTTAAGGCACTCCCACTCCCCATCAGTGTGTTAAGTCAGCTGGGAGGCAGCATGAACCCTTCAGAACACCAGCGCTGCTGCATGCAGTCCCCCATGCACAGCTGAGTGACAACCACACAGCCCTCTGGGCTTTAGATGGGGGACAAGGGAGTCAGAGTGACTAGGAATCAACTACATGGAGCTTAGGAGACCACACTTGAAAGTGAACTGAGATCACAAAATAAAGCTACCACGTCTCAGAGTGACAAATGCAGCAGAGTGACCAGGAGACCCTTGATGGACACATGGTTTCCAAAGCTTACAAAACACCAGCACTGCACCTGGCTCTGAAGCTGCTCTGTCGCCAGATGTGTACCTCCCAGCAATGCCAGCCACTTGATGTTCCGAGTCGCACCATCTAGGTCTTCGCTTGGTCTGAGACAAGGAGTTTGCTTTCCAAATACCGGTGCCTAAAAATTTCTACCTTTCTTGAGAAACACACACTTAAGGGTGGATGTTCATGTTTGAATGTTCCACTGACACCAATTTAAGAAGATGAATAAGGAAGCGATGGTCTGCCACCAATTTCATCCAATTACTCATACAGTTGGTTGGAAGGAAAGGGTGATTAATAAGCACAAGATGACACAACATGTTATTCATGATAAAGTAACCAACGATACATAGGAAACCTATTCTAGTTGAGAAAAGAGAAGCTAATAAATCTTTTTCGTTTTCTTTCTTTTTTTTTGGTCCCATTCAATAAAATAACACATTTTGCTCCTTGTTCAAAGACCAGCCTGTCAGCAAATACAGGGCAGTTTCACTAGCAATAAATTCATTGTTCCTTCAATATACACATTTCTTATGATTAAATGTACCTCTTCTATGATGCTCTTGGTAATATTTTTGCCTCCCTGTGAAGCCAATACTTCAGTTTTCCCTTGTACTCATGGGGTGAGTGCCACTTGCTAATATAGGCATTTCCTTTAGTACAAAAGCCAACTATCCAAACCCCCATTACCCCTGAACACTACGAGTCCAGGACTGTCCCCTGGCCAACCAGGTTCTCGGACTCCTGCCCTGAAGGTTCTAGAGTCCCTGCAAAATGAAGGCCTCTGCCAGCCCACAACTCAGTCTGCAGAGGGGCGTAAAGCCAAGGTACACTCTGATCATTAAAAGCCCCAGCCAACCATACTACTGGGGGTCTCCAGGATAAAGTATCTGATGCAGGAAATAAAAGAGACCAATAATCCTATAACCAGACGGGGAGAAATGGTTCTTTTTCTTTTCTAACCATTATCAAAAACATTGTTGTTGGATTTCAAGCCATTCATACACTATGACTTTTGTTTAATATAAAGTGAGGGCTTCGTAAAAATTATAGTAGAGAATTCTATTTATGCACTCTTCTCTCTTGTAGATATATATGTGCTTCCTACATAGTGTTGGGGAGGAAGGGCATGGAACAGAGTCCTTGCTCCTGCTCGAGATGATGCCGCAGTTCTCCAGGGGGTATTGAGACAGCTACTGCTATGGCTCAGGTCATCATTTCCCCCAGAAAGAATGAAATACATGCGAAGAGCCGTTGAGAAGGCATAAAAATGAGTTCAACACACTTCCATTAACTTCTATCAAATTGGTTTATTTCATTTCTCTTAGCAACTTTAATAAGATTTGTTCTTGCTGTTCACAACCGTATTAGCCTACAGGGGATAAATGATGCATTGAAAAACACCACAGTTACTTAAAGTCAGAGTAGAGGATTATATGAAGGGAGAAAACAGGGGGGTAAATTTGTGGGGCCAGAGTTGTTCTCAGGCACTCTGCAAGCCTGGTGTAAAGACAAATGGGAAACTCAAGCTTGGTTCAAAGACCACAGGCCAGAGTCGGAGGGGAGGGATGATCCCGATGAAAGACTGGGTCCCCATTAGATGCTCCTCTAGGACAGCCCCTCTCCCCAGAAAGCTATGACTGAGTTCCAGGGTAAAAAGATTGTAACAGAAGGCTAGGGAAAGTCCTGATGTCTTTTTTTTTTTTTTTTAAATCCCCACGGCTCATGAATGAAAACAAGGAGTCTACACCATTGGCACCTCAATACATGCAAGTAAAGCAGTGTAAGGAGAGAGGGCAGCAGCTGATGACTTGCAACAGGGCCTTTGGCACAGGGTCAGGGGCCCAGGCACCAGTGGCCTCAGTGTTGATCTTGGCCTGCGGAGCAACAAGGCAGTGCTGAGAGTTTGCTGATGGGGCACTGGGTGCCAAGGTTCGTATCCCAGGCATGTGACCCATGTCACCATCGCATCTGATCCTCACAGAAACACTGAAGTGGCTGCAGGGCTCCCCTTGCTACAGATAAGGCCACTGAGGTTGGCAAGGTGAAGTGTAACTTGCCAGGAATCAGCCAGCTCTTCAGCGGTGAAGCTAGGACTGGGTCCGTGGGATGGCAGAAGCCACGCACCTGATCACCATGCAGCGCTGCCTGCTGACCCACAGTCACGGGGCACAAGGAAGGAGAGACGGGGGTCAGAGCCAACAGCGCACCAGCACATCCCAGCTTAACCCATACCACCTGAGGGCCCATGGGGTGAGGTGGCAGGCACGTAAAGGGGCCCAGAGCAGGGGGTGGAAAAGCTGAGAAATACTGAATTGGGGCAGCTCTGGTAGCGCTGCCCTCCCTGTGCCACCATGACTGGCATCTCTTGGCTTCATAAGCGTCCTCTGTAGATACCACAATGCTCTAAGGCATAGAACGCAGGAAGCAAGATGGAGGTGCTAGGCAACTCCAGGAAAGAAAAGAATAAGCTGTTACTCCAAAGACTGGAAATACATACCTTGAGCCCCCGACCACAGCCCCACTGCTCAGACACTCAGCATGAGCCTCGGCGGCCGGGTAAGAAAGGCAGCCGAGCTCATCAGAAAAGGCATCGCCGACCGCGCACAAAGCCACAGAAGGCAATCGCACTGCATTTTAGGATTATGACGAAAAAATCCTTTATCCATAACCCATCAATAAGCACAGCTGACCTAATTTGTGTGCCTAATGCCATAGTGTGCGGACATTTAATAAACAGAGCACTTGAGAGTTCTAATAAAACACAGCATTTGCCAGTAGAGATAATTAGAATTGGAGCAGCAAAATTCTAGTGTTTGGCAACATAGATGAAACAGCTTCATTAAAATGTACAGCTTCGGCAAATGAAAGGCAGGGGAGCACTGGACCCTGAAGAATCAGCCTTCTCAAAACTAATTGCTTCAGTGCTTATAGAGGACAGCTCTGAACTACCAAGGGCACGGCAAGGAAACACTACTGAAAAATGATCAGCCTTCCCAGAGCGGTTTCACTGTAAACAAAGCATTATACTTTCCTCTAATATCTGAGGACGGAAATGGCACTAGGGACGTCAGATGGCCAGACTCAAAAGTTTGGCAGGGCTCTCAATAGTCAAGGCAGGAAACACCTTTAGCAATAGAAACTCACAATGAGCCACAGTCACTCTCTTTTGCCCTTGGTGTGGGGTCAGGATTCTAAAGAGGGCAAATTAAAAGACAACCACTGGTCCCCAGGGAGGTTGGAAACCAAGAGGAGGCAGAAAAGCAGAAGCACATGCAAGAGTTACGAACGTGAAATCTATAATCTCTGGCGAATAAACACAGGGCATGTCCTACTCAACACACAGTGAGATCACATTTCAGGGGAAAACCTTTTTGCACGTTGCACTACAGGATGCTAGTCTACTGCGCATGTTCTGGGACATAGTACAAAGGTGACAGAGACAGAGTGTGTGTTCGCTCACTTTCCTTTTTATGCTTTCTCTCATACAACTAGATTCCTAGACATCTGGAGCCCACAGAAGAGTCTTCAGAGCATTCAGATGAAATAAATGTATTGGACGGAGCGGAAGAGGACATTTTTTCATATTACTGATTTTTCACAAGGCTGTACCACACACAGCTCCAACTCAATGGGATCTAAACTGAACTCATCCTGTCCTTTCCCCTCACACATCATCCTTTGGCTTCCTGTCTCAATGAAGGGCTCTACCATCTGTCCACCATGCAGCCATAAATCCTGGAATCACCTGGGGCCACTGCCTCTCTCCTGCCTCCCACATCCCATCCGTGATAAATTCCCCTTGATTCTCCCCAGGCCCCCTCTTGAAGCTCTCCTCTGCCAAAGATAAGGTGGGGACAGTTTGTCCCCTGTCTCCACTGCTCCTCCTGTCCTCCACTGCTAACCAGGCTCCTCCTTCTCGAGTGGCAAGACTCATCCCCATTCCTAGGGCTTAAATCTGGGGCCTGCAGGCCCGGGGAATATATTAGAGTCCACTGTAGGCCCAAGGTAGGGGGGCCATTGCTTCCCACCACCCCGTTTGTCCAGAGCCCCAGGGGGATTCAAAGGCCTGAAGGGAGGGAGGGCCATGAGAACCAAGGGATGGCAGAAGCAAGGGTACGGTAGCTCCGTTGCTCTCAATCCCACAGAAGTATCGTGTTAATGATTTTGGAAACACTCTCATGATTTATTGACCCAAATTCTGACTCCTGTGGGTAAGGAAAAGGGAAGGGAACAAGGTGAAGGAACACAAATTTAAAATTAATCTCCACTAATTTACCTCATAAATAAATACACACACACACACACACACACACACAGGACTTCCTGGGAAGCAAGGCCAGGATTTGGACATCCAAAGCTGGAATGTTTGGGGTGTTATGAAGCTGGGGCTGGGGTAACTACCACGGGGCATTTGCTCTGCCGGTTGTGAAACAGTCAAATAGCCCCTCTGTCCTCTGGTCAGGGCTGCTGGGGGCTTAGCAGCCTCCAAGGAGGCTCAAGGAGAACCTCAAGCATGCTCTTCCCCATCTGTAGCC